TAATCCACTTTAGCACTTACATGGCTTACAGTTGCATTGTCCACCAGCTTTGCAAGCACATTTGTCTGTAAAAGAAAATTACGACGCAATTTCAATGTAGTGTCGAATAATTATTTTTCTATGCCATAAATTATTCAAATTTTAAGTGAGTCGTGTATTTTCACGTGTAATAGTTAAAATATAAAATGAAATTCGTGTGTCGATAAACGTAATTCTCAGCTTTACTAGTTGTGAGTCATGCAAATAAGTAGACGTTAACAGCGGTCACGGTTAGCCGGTCGTTGCCCGGATTACGAGAAAAGAAAACCACGTAGTCAGACTGAACGATCGTGACTACATTCCTTCATAGAAATGGTCGTTGTTTTTTACAGAAAAGTGGTACACGACAAAAGAGCACGTAGTAACGAATGTTTTCAATAATACAATCGTAACAATTTATTTCGTAAAAATGAAAGCAGGGTATTTTATATTAATTAATAATCGTTACCTCCGCATGAGGAGTTGCAGCACTTGCACGAATCGCCGCATTTGCAATCCTGGCACTTATCTGTAATAAAATGTTTATTAACGAAACGTTTCCGAACGATAGGGTAAAATTTATAATGTTTAACATAATAATAGTAGTCAGATAATAAGCAATTTTATCGAGGAAATGTAAATTATTCAATAGAAACCAGAGGTAAATTGATGAAACTAGTCAATTGAGACCAGCAAGCAATTGAGCTTGTTAAATTATTTAATTGCTTCCTGTTTAGGCCAATAACTATAGAGCCTACGTATATACAGGCATTCTAAAAAAAAATTCTGGGTTAGGTCTGCGTTAGGTTATTGTATTATTTTATCAAATTCCACATTAATTTCGAAGCTATGAACAAGAATTTTAATAGAATTTCAAAAATTTGTTAATAATTCGAAACTTTCAACAATTTCTTTTAATAAATGGTTTACTTGTTTGGATTATGGAAGTATTGATTTCATACAAACCGATACAAATTCTTACCTGTGCACTTGTCGCATCCTGGTCCCGGCATTTTGACTTCTTGATCGCTTCTCAGCTGAGCTTCGACTTCTGTAGGAGCACGATGACTACTTGTCAATCCAGTTGCACCGCTTCGAATTTATCGATCATCTCCTTCCACCTCTCTTATACCCAACAAATGAACAGCGTGTGCAACTGGCAGCGTGTGTGCCATGCGCAAACCAGGACCGTGTTAATTCCAATTCAAAGATAGGCACATTTTATTTCCAAGTGACCAATACAAATTTTAAATTCGTTAGTACTACTTAAATGTATTAAAAACGTTCGGTCTCAAAGTGGTTGTTACATACCCTTGCGTGAATTGCGTTTGTCTTACTTTTTATAATTAATTACTTCTCAAATGCATTGGGGTATGAAAGTAATGTTGACGTGCCTGTACAATCGCTGCACGAGCCCAATGATAAACGTTGGGAGTTACACTCCAATGAGTGATAAGAACAATTTGATTTTCCACTAGATGGCGCAAGAATTCATTTTAGAAATTTCAGGCGTAGAAGTGGTACGGTGATTCATGTTGAAATCATCGATATGGTGTAGATCATTCTTGAAATCCATTAGAACGTACTTTATACGTTGCACATAATGGGAAGTAAAAGGTATAAACTTCGTTGCAACACCTTTGGGATATAACATACACAATGCAAAATAGTAAAATATAATTTTTATTGACACCTATTACTCTACTAAAGGTTTATGTTTATTCCAAATGAAGTATAAAATATTAACGTATTAATTACACATATCTCTGTTTATGAAGAAAATTCGTTTTACTAGCTGCCTGTTCGATATGTATAGATTCATCTTCTGGTTCATAATTAATTTCTACTATTTCATTATTTGTTACCATTCCTGCATTCCTCTGTTTCCAGATTGAATTGATTCTACCTGAAAAAATTTGTTTTATATATATCATGACAACAGAAGTTATTTTATATGACTACAAATAATAGTACCTTCATGTCGTATAACAACTTTGCTTTCCATTGATTCTAGCAATTTCTTTACACGAGCTCCTGATTTAGGAGATTTAATTTCCTTTATCTAGAAAACATGTTATGAATGAGTATACTACTTTTACAATAGGAAAAATATTGTATTAAAATACATACTGTCTTAACTTGTAAAGGAAGTTTATAAGAGACCCTAGGAAGTACAAAATCATTTTTATGTGCACTATCAGTCTCACATGCTGTTGATGTAATTTCTTGTTTGTATGATTGATTTCTTCTGAATTTTGGTGATAAATTAATTTTCAGTGATGTTTGTCCTTGAGGTTTAGTTAAACTTTTTGATAGAATAGTTTGTCTTGAGTTTCTACTTGGGGATGCTGTATCATTCATTTTTACAGGTGTAAATAGCAAACCACCTTTTCTAGCTCGTACATTTTTTATAAGTTGCATATCTGTACCTCTTATGTACATACCAACTGGTGAAACTACAGTATTCAAATTCTTTCTGTGCCCTTGTGAGGCTGAACTTTCTATGTTTTTCTCCTTTGTATCTTTTATTGGACTATACATACTTGGAAAATATATCTTTTTTTTCTTGCAATATTTATTTGGAGGAGTTTTCCCTGGTGTCAAAAAAAATTTTGTTTGTGAACACTTTTTTTTCTCTTTAGTTTCTTGATTCCTGTTTCTTGACAATGGTGATTTACATATACAAGATGCTATATTTGAACTCAACGTATTTTTCTCTGCTCTTGGTGACATAGTCGCATTTAACACTTTTATGTCTGGAATTTTCACTTTGTACTCAGAGTCAGTGCTTGTGTTGTTCTTAACTGTGGTTTCGGGCAGACAAGGATTCCTCAGAAAATGAAAAAGCGGTTTCCGTTTTTCTAAATATGTTTGATAATCTTTACAAGATATCAGGGTTTTTAAGAACTTAGCTTCATCACTGGACAATGAGTCTGATTTATTATCATTTTCTTCTAGTCTTATTTTTGTATCTGCATTGATTTTTTTAATAAGTCTTGCTGTATCAAGGCATCTTTTTCTTTTCTTAGCTATATCTTGCAAAAGTGTCTGTTCCAATTCATCTGGATCTTCAGACTTTCTGTTAATTTTTATAGATTTTTTTTTTGAATAAGATACATCATGTCCAAAATTTGTTGATTCATGGTATAACTCTTGTTGTAATTTAGGAAAACTTAATTCTTTCTCTGTATTGAATTTCTTTATCAATGGGCTTTGATGTAAACGTGAATCCAGTAAGTTAGGTGTACTTCTGATTGATTTTTCTGTATCAGATGTATTAGAAATACTTAAAGAAGCCATTTGTTGTTCACACATATTTTCCACTTCAGTCATACTTAATAAAGAAGGCACTGATAAACTTTTTTGTAATGGTTGAGGACATTCTTTCTCTTCTGGGAATAATCTCTTACACTGAGCTTCCAAACGTTCAAAAGAGTCATTACTAGATACATTTGATGATGTATTAATTAAATTATCAATGCTTCCAACAGAGTTATGTTTTGACATTTTTTGGAAGAATCTTCTTTTAATTACACTTATGGCAGACAGAGGTGTGGTAGGTGGTATACACGGTGTACCCATAGATGCAGTTAATAAGTGTTCAGTTTTAGATGAATTGGTGGACTCAAATTTATTACATTCAGGAATTGCATCCACCTGGTTTGGATATGGAGGTGTAGTCATTACAGATGAAGGCCAATCAGGAGAAGATTCATCTTCAATGAATTTACACATTTTTCTGAACTCTGTTGTTAATCTGCTCAAATTTATTGCAGATGCATTAGAGGCATCACCATTATTGATAATAGATTCTTCAATAATGGTTAATAGTTTTTCAGTGAAATTCTTTGGACAATGGACATATTCATTGGATAGACGTTTTAAAAGTTGTTCTGGTTGTGATACTTCTTTCATTTGATTCAACTGATTATCTAATGAAGAGAGTATAGTTTCAAAATGTATTATTCCATTAGTATGTATATCTTTATTTTCTTCTGCTACAGGAACTACATCAAATTTATTGTTGTGTATGTTATAATTACTATCTCTCTTTGACACTTCATTTATTATATTACATTTTAATTTGTTATGCAACTCTGATACATCTTGTTTTGTTGCAGTTGATGTTAATTCACTGATCAATCTTTTAGGTGTTCTATTCTCTAACTGTATATTTTTCATTGCACATTGAGGATTATTATTTTCTTTATTATCTTTACTTTTGTTATATAAATCCGTAATATCATTATTAAGTGGTTCTCTTGAGTTTCCACTTTTAAATAAATCAATACGTTTATTTAAATCTGGCACTAATGGAGTAAATGTGGTAGATGAAATAGATGCATTCGAAAGAGTACAATCTGTTTCAAAGTTGTCATCTAAAATAGTGGAATGATTGCAATTATGTCTAGAAGCATTAGAGATGTCATTCCTTCCTTCAACCTCATTCAAACTGTCCTCAGAAAATGAACTTATCATACAGAAATCTAACTCAGAGCTAGTATTGTATTCTGGAAAACAAGTCATTTGATCAACAGGTGAATGTACTTTTAACATTTGATATGCAAATAATATTTGTGCATCATTTGTACTTACGAAAACTGTTCAGCGAATCTGTAAAATCACCAGCATACCTTCGATGATGACTCATTTTAATATTTTATTAAAATTTTAATTATAATCAATAAAACTGACACACACAACTTTCCTTGCTTTCTGGAAAGCGTAATCGTAATACAACGTCTGTTAGATACGTTATAACCGGTACTTTGTTTTGAATGATCAGTACAACCAACATTACTATGGCGAAACTAAAGCGAAACCATCACTAGTGACTTTCCTTTGTAGAAGAAAACATATGATAATTGAAATAATATATTGTAGTGTTGTAGAGCAAATAAATTGATTAATTATGCATTAATGAAAAATAAAGAGTAATCTATTAGATGATATCGGTAGCGCCATCTTACAGGAACGGAGGGAACTATTTTCACTACAAACTTGAGCGTTTTCCCACAGATGGCGCCTCTAGTTAAAAATTATATATATACATATAGTTCACTTGTTTTGACACGTGAAACAATTTATTGGTTAGAACCTAATACTTGTAATATGTTCAGTTAACGTGTTCCCTTTAATGTTGCTCTGTTTGTATAATGTTCATAAATTTATTTGACTTCACAGTAATTGGTGAAGTATAAATAATCTTCATGAGTTTCAATCAACAATTATTAAGCAGTGCCTGCAAACCTAATGTATGTGATGTAAAATATTTAGAATTTGTAAATAATGCATTAAGGGAAACGTCAGAAAGTTTTGAAAGGGAACAAAAATGTATGTATTTGATAATATTCTATACCTACATGACAATTTTTCATGTATTGACCAATGATTTTAGTGTCAGACAAAGTACTATTAAACCTGTACAATATCTTTGGTGGTGTATTTGAAAGGGCATTAGAACTTTATGAACAAGGTCGTGTAACTCATATTTATCCATCAGAAAATACTGTATCTGCATCTCATACAGAAAGAAATAATGCTAGATACTTAATACAAGTTAAAGGATGTTCAGGATCAGTTTATACATTTTTTCCTGATATAAATTATTGTGTTTGTGCTTCCTTTAGGTATGGTTCTCAAATTTCTCCTAGTTATCAATAAATGGAAGTCTTATAGTGTGTTATTAAGTATTAATCTTACAGGTGTCAGGTATTAAACGATAGATTATTATTTACCTGCAAACATGTTTTAGCAGCTTGGCTTGCAACCATTACTAAATATAAATTGGTATATCAATATATAACAGAGAAACAGTTCCAAAACTTATTGTATTATCAAGTCTCATATGAGCAATATGTATCCTGATATAGAAAGTTATAAATTAGTTGCAAAATTAGGAAACCTCAAAACTATAGTACAGTTATTAAAAGCAATTAATTTTCAAGAGGTAACATCAAATATATTAATTTTACGCAAAAGTTAAATATACATATTTGGCTCAAAAATTTTTACTTCCTATTTAGAGTGCAACTTGTTTTGGAACTGAAAATGGTTTAAAAGTAACAGTGGAAGATGCAAAATGTATGCAAGCTAGTGCTTACATTCCATCTCACATATTTCAAGAATTTAAATTGAAGGAAGATATAATTTTTCGAATAAACCTGAATGTATTAGTGGAATGTCTTTGTATGTTTTGGAGTAATATAAATTCTCAAGGAAGCTCAGTGGCTTTACAGCTCTTTTATAAAGTATATATAAATCAAATTTTCCAGTAAAGACTTCATAGATATAACCAAGTCCTAAAATAGAATAATTTTAACAATAGGGTGTTGGTCATCCAGTAACAGTTCTTATAGAAGAAGATGGAATTATAACAGATTGTTCTTTAAAAACTCAACAGCCCGATGAATTGTTAGATTTTCATCTTGAACCAGAAAATGTTTTGAATAAAGTAGTATTACAAACTGAATTATTAAAAGATATTTTATCAGAACTTGATCCAACCAGTGACCTTATCGAGGTAGTTGACGATTTTAAATTCGCGCGTCGATAGTTTTATAGTTTTGTAGTTTTATAATTCTGTTACAGTTGCTCTTATCGCCTGCTGCCCCATTTTTTCGAATTAGTACAGCTGGTTTAGCAGGAATTTGCCATGTCGAGTTGCCACACGATGGCGAATTAATAGATAATTTTCAATGTAACTCGACGTCAACATCTAGTTACAAGTTATCGCATATTAAGCCAGCTATGAAGGCATTATTATATGCGAATAAAGTTTCTTTGAGAACCGATACATGTGGACTATTATGTTTTCAATATATGGTTAAAACCGATGAGGGACATACTTGTTACATAGAATATTATGTAAGAGTTAACTTAATTTCATGTTATTCGTACATTACGAAGAACCGCGTGAAAGTAGCGCGTAAATACAATAAAGTATTGTTTCAGATTTCACCTGTGATAGACCCAGACGAATAGTTGTATTCTAAATCATAATGGGATATACTCAATCGTTGTATAAAGTCTCATATGAATTGTAATTACAATTATATATTTACAACCGATGTACTAATTGTTTATTTATTAAGAATTCCCGTGAAAGCAACAATTTGAATTACATTTAAAGAAGCATAAAAAATATACGAAATACAAAATTCTTTAACGTATGCAAAATTGTGCGCGCATATCATCACTTTCAAATCATAGCAAAAACATTTATACATTTGTATGCATATTTTTTGCTTCTTTTACATTTATCAAAATAATGTAAAGTTCTTAGATTTGCAAGAATAACTTTCAACAGTGTCAATTAATCATTGACCCGTGGAATATCATTTCCCCGGCTAGCAGTATTTTTATTGTTGGACTTTATATACTCTCGTGCATATTATATCGTCGACTTTCATGACCTGTAACAGAAAAAGAAAGCCTTAAAACTTATACTCAATCGGTATTCAACTACTTCTCAAGGCTTCGAAATTGATTATCATTAACTCCATTATTGAACTTATTAAATTGTCCGAGTCACGAATACAAAAGGTACGCGGTAATTGGCGGACCTTTTGACCAATGACAAAGGCATTTTTATTATCATTAGACGTTCGTCCCGTTATCTCTCGTGTCGTTCAACTCTGCAGAACTCCTTCCATTGCACGAAATGTAACTCAATTGAATCGTTAAACTTATAATTCCTTAATGATCCCCTATGGCGCGAGATTACGTAATTGATTATCGAGGTGATTTTTATTAGATTTGCTGTCGAGTTAAGGAAATAACGAACGAACCGTCAAGGTACAAAGGTTTACGACAACAGTTTCATACGATAGACTCAACAATTATCTCCCTCGATATTCTTCCCTATGCTCGTTAACCATACGTACCGCTTTCATTTCCGTCGGCGTGAATTCTCTCTCAATCGTGGTCTGTTTCTCGCCCTTTTGTATTTGAACGAGTTTATTTCCTTCTAAACTACAGACGCTCTTCACTTTTCTTCCGTCCGGTGTTTCCTCGTCGAACTCCTCGCCGAGTTTAAACTTTATTTCGGAGGACTTGAACGGGCTAGTCGTTTTCAGCGTGTAGAGCCCATTGTTCTCCGTTAATTCAACCACGGGGTTCACGCTGCTACCCATTTTACGCGTCATCAGGCTTACACCTGAAACAAAACGAGGCAGGATTTAGAAATGCATAGAATTCAAAGAACCTTTCGTACTGGCCGTCTTTAAACCGCTTTTACACTTTGAACATTCTACGAATCCGAACACCCCAGAACCTTTTCTACTTCCGTGCCTACCACTTTCTTCATGGTGCTGTGCATCGGCAATTTAAAGAAAATACAGAATTACCCAAAGTAATCGAACAAAAGCGAGACTTGTTCCACGTGTACTTTACCTAAGGCTTTCATCATTTCGTCGAAGTTTTCGCTGGTCTGCAGCTTGTAACGTTTCCCGTAAAAGGCCGAGAGCATCTTGTACGATCGCGTGCGACGCGAAACCAACGGAAATAGAAAACCGACTGAACACAAGCTCGGCTATTATCGCATCTTATATTGCACATAATGATATTGCCGAGTTCCTTATCAATTAACACGCATAAAGGAGGTTCGGTTTAATTCAAATGAACGAAGTAAAACGAAAACTTTGAAGTTTGAACTTTTGCGATACCCCCTACGATTCTGAGGTATGTTTACGGAGGGGTATCGCGTATCTTTGGAAATGACAATCGTAATCTTATTTGGTTAAGCCGATGGAATTTTCATAATTTTAGTTTTTCGTTTTGTACGTGCGCCATGCATATCGCTGTGCAACTATTTCCACACGAGAACCTTTGGACTGATATTAGTCATACATATTTCCCGTGAAGTGATTACACGTACAAGCTGTAAGATATTATCGCGGCTTTTTTGTGATACGTATGTTTGCAGCCCATACGTGTACTTTGTTCAAAAATTGGCGTGTATTCGAGAACGGTATAATTTATGTTCCTTTGCGGGATCAGCCAACACATCAACGCGTGGACAACGTCGACCAGTGACAGTGTACTTTTATTCAATTTCCGGTAATCGTACCGAAACAACCGGTTCCACCATCGTACCACGAGGATACAAAATGTTGTGCACGCTATGATCATTTAGCTGTTGTCGATTATATGTATCATAATAAAAATTCTCGGCGATAAAGTCGTTCAAAGTCGACACCAAGTTTGCAAATGAACGATTATAAGAACTATATTTGACTAATTATGTAATTATGTTCATTTGAATTGCATGAAGTCGGCATAGAAAGTTTTTGAATAATTTGTAAAACAAGTTATTGCAACAGGACCTAAAGTCACCTGTCACTGAAAAAGAAGAGTCGTATTCCAAAGTATCGTTTTGAGTGTGGCATGAAAGCGAATACCGAGTCGCAACGTAGCGATAAAAATGTACGTAGGTAACAATTTCTTGCGATAACGCATACTATACCAGTACGCGAAGGTTGAGTATAACTTGGCAGTAACCGAATAATATCGCATAATATTATGCATCAAAGCATCAAACAAATTTAAAGCAGATGTTCAGAAATACAGAAACGCATTTACGAGGTTAATATCTATTAGGAACGAGTAACAAATATGCTCATTCGCATGCAAACGCGAAGCGTATCCGTTTCATGATCCCGATGTAAATGATACTGCATGATCTCATTCATGCTATATCCTATAGTATGCACAGATTTCTTGGTTTACATGATAATAAAATGACTATCAATGGGCTGACTCGATCAGTTTCAAAACATCCTACACGTATCGCTCTATCAATGTTTTTTATCTGGCAAAAGAGACAATGTATTTTTATTAAGTCAATTCCATAAGTACCATACATTAGGGCGATTCGACTTACAATTGCGATTTATTAATCTTGCCGGTAAATTAATTCAAGTGCTAAATTGGAGTACAATCGGACTCCGTCTGTGGCACATGGCGGGAATTAAGCGTGAGGTCAGGTCGTTGCACGGGCAGCGGAGCAGAGTTCAACATATTAAAATTGATTATCTTATTTATTACTGCCAGGTTGCAGATTTAATGTGTTTTAAAATATGCTTCGTAAATCAGTATTGACATTAACGTGAAAATGTACTTCTAAACAGTTCACGTTGAACATAAGTTTCTCGAATTTGAGTAAGCAAGAAACTTATAAAATCACTAATCTGTGTAATCATTAGAATACATTCCTGTGCTCCGAAATTGTTGTTATTCACAACAAAATCGAACTCTCCGGCGTATCTCCAAATTTTGTCTTATCGATTCGGAAAGTATTAAGGATATCATTCTTATCTGGATTCGGTTTGGTATCAATATTCATACGTTCTCCAATCAGTAGCAGATATAAGATACTTTCTTGGTATCGACCAAAAAAATCTAAATTTATTGAAAATTGAAAAGACTTCAATTATGAATTTATTTTAGTTATTCCTATGGATGAGATTCTGGAATTCTTGATATTGTTGCTGCCCCATTTTAAAGCCGTCTAGATCCGCTACTGGTATCGATAATAAACGCGTTGGATTGTACATTCGGAGTGTTCGACCATAGAACACATTGTTTACCATGACGAGTTTATGTTTGTAAACGAGCTGTATTGTGTGCTAATAAGAAGTATCGCCTCTGAAACTGGTTTCCACGGTCACAACAGAAACGTCGAAGATAGAATGACTAATCGACGAGACGTTAATTGATAACATGTCATACAATAATTTTCATAACTCCTTTGCAATCGTCAACTACTTCATTCTTGAACCGTACTCGCGACGTATTGACAGTACACCGACGATAATAGTGCTCGATAACGTAATCTGCTGTACTAAATTCGTGCAACCATAACGTGTAGCTACTCTAGATGAATTCGACATTAGAATGCGAAGTTAATAACGACACGAGGAACGTTCCATCGATGGAACACGATCGGACGAAGTTTTATCAATTTATACGTACCGAGTGCCTTCATAAAATCGTCGAAATTTTCGCTGCTGAACAGCTTATACCGTTTTCCAAGGAACTCTTCGGCCGGCATGACGATCGATCGAAACTGCCTGGACTCGATCACGTGACTGAGAATATATAGGTTTGAAGGACGATCGTCTAAGCAAGAGAAACGAGTGCTATGGACCGATGCTCACTGAGTTGTCGTCGGCTAAAGACTGACTAGGATCTGGGAGGACGAGGTACGTTAAGGTACCTACGGTCTGTACATTCAGAACAGACTACTATACAGCTCTCTCCTTCTCCTCCGTCCCACCCATCGCCTCGTTGCTTTATCTCTCTCTTTCCTGTACACCCTCTTTTCGCCCTTCCCGCTTGCAACCTCCCGTACCCATTCGACTTTTCTCTCGCTCTTTTCATCTTCTGTGCTGAAACGTCCATCTTTTTTTGCCCGTTTGGTTCGCGAGTTTCGATGGTTCCCCTACCGGACATTCGCAGCTGCAACCCAGAGTCGTGTCTCATCCGTTGCTGTTCTTGCTTGCTGTAATATCTTTTCTTTATATTACACATCGCTAAATTTCTTCACCGTTATTTTATTTCTGAGCTGTACTGCTCTCTGTATTCTGATAGAGATAATAAAATTTGTAAGTTCAATTATCACTCTATCGCTTATTTATTTATCACTTTGTAATCAAACTTTTTCCCCTAATACATTGGAACACCCGTTCCATGGTTCCAACCTTCAAATTATTTTTACCTGTCGTGTGATTATTCGAGCGTTGTGTTAGATTCTTACGGCATTAATTGTGTCCAATTATCAATGGCCGAACAATGCGGATCTCGCTTCATGCGCAAGTTCTCATCCGAGCATGTCCATGTTCGCTGGCCATTGGAGAACGAATATCTGCGCGCGACGCGCGGCCAATCACGACGCATCACAGTCGAACTATAGATGTAATTATTTTGGATACTGTGAACGGATAAGAGTAATATGATAACGCTCACAATAGAGTAATTTTTTCCTTGTTATAGATGAATCGTTGAAAAGTACAAATTTCTATTACGCGAACGGCTGATAAACGTACATTTCAAAAATTTCTTGTTCGTT